AATGGCCAACAGGCATATGAAAAAATGTTCAACATCACTTGTAATCAGGGAAATGTAAATCAGAACTACAATGAGGTACCATCTTACACCAGTGAGAATGGCACATATTAAAAAAACTAGCAACAAATGTTGGCGAGGGTGTGGAGAAAAAGGAACTCTCCTGCACTGTTGGTGGGAGTGCAAACTGGTCCAACCACTATGGAGAGCTGTGTGGAGATTTCTTGACCTACTAAACATAGAGCTTCCATATGATCCAGCCATTCCACTCCTAGGTATTTACCCAAAGGACACAGAAACATCAATTCCAAAGAGCACCTGCACCCCTATGTTTATAGCAGCACTGTTTACAATAGCTAAGCTTTGGAAACAACCCAAATGCCCAAAAATAGATGACTGGATCAAGAAGATGGGGTACATATACACCATGGAATATTATTCAAAAAAGATAAACACATGCAATTTGCAGCAACATGGATGGCGCTGGAAGGGATCATGCTCAGCGAAATAAGCCAGAAAGAAAAAGAAAAATACCGGATGGTCTCACTCATAGCAGGAATCTAGAAAACTTAAACAAGGGACCAGGAAAAAGAATAACTATAAGAAAGAAAATATCAAAATTGACAAACAACTATGAACCAGAGACACTCTATGGCGGGTGGCGGGCAGGGAAAGGAGGGCTTGGGGTCAAAATAAGGGGGTTGTAATTGTATGGGGAATATAAAAAATAAAATTTAAATTAAAAAATTAAAAAAATAAAATATGTGTATATAAAAAAAAAAGAAAAAGCTGCTATGAACATTGATATATATAAAAAAATAAGGTGTTGAGATCTTTTGCAATAATCCTCCTGAGAAAGGCCAATGTTAACGTGAAAGCTAGCATTATTTCAAACTTGAAGTATTAGTACAGAGGAGATGGGCATGGGAAAGACAAGGCAGAAAGATCAGGAAAAGTGGACTTGTCTGGATGGAGGGCCATTGTACAGTGTTTTTGTTGAAGGTGTTTGAGTGATGTGATCATGATTTTCTTTTTTTGTTTGTTTTAAAGATTTATTTATTTATTTATACAAGCACTGGGTATAATAAGAAGCACGGGAGGGTGAGAGAATTCACCAGAGCCAGAGCAGGGAACAGAACAGGTAGACGGACGGACTGACGGAGGACACTGCTGAGGGGAGCAGCGGGCGTGGCAGGAGAGGTTTGCGCGCCATGTGGGACCCTCGCCGGTGGCCGGGGATTGAACTGGCACTGCAGAGACTGCAGGCAGCTTCACAGCCCAGTGCTCAACCGCTGCGCCACTGGGGAGGCCCTGGTCATGATTTTCAACAAAGATTCAGCCTGTGCTTTTGAGTCCCCCCTCTCTGTGCTGGATACTGACCCGGGTGCTGAGCCCTGAGCCCTTCTTTTGAACGTACATTTCAGGGGAGCTACTTGGGAAGATGAATGCTGAGAGTATCAGCATTTATTTAAATCTTTTGGTGTTTGTCATATGACTTATGCCCCTTTGGTGTCTATCTAGTGTGTGAGGTCAAGAATCTGTTTCACACCTACACAAGAATCCTTATGCAAGGTAAAAATTTGTTGTTTCTGGAACACTGGAGAAAATTTTGCAGCAACAAATTTCAGTAGCAAGAGATTTTTTGTCTAACATAAGATTCCATATTTCCTGCAAAATATAACTTTAGGGGACAAGTCTAAAGATCCAGAGAAGAGGAATTTCCAACCTTTGTCCACTCTTCTGCCTCCATTGCATTACCTTTGACTTTGCCTTTCCCGGGATCGTTAGCACGTCTTCTTTGCCTGCACTTTCAAACCCGGTTGTCTTTCCTTCTGTTTCCTGTTCAACCAAACTGCTGTTTCCTAAAAGTTATACTTCTACTCTCTAGATTGGAATTTACATTCCATTTTCCCCCAGAGATCAATATTTCTTTCCAGAAGCTGAAGAAGTTGGCTGCTCAGGGAGAAAAGACTAAGGAAGCAAGTGAGGAGAGAACTACATTCTGTTCACAAATAAGCGTCCCCACCTACGAAGTGTCAGCGCCGCAGGTGATATAGAAAGAGGGGGCGTGCTGTCCCGCCATGAGGAAGTGACACTCTGTAAGGAAAGGAAAACCCCATGTGGGTTTTTCTAGTGTTCTCTGGTCCTGAATGTCTAGCGTGTTTCAGACACTGAAACATGGGGATAGAGCAGTGAATGAAACGCATTCTGGTCTCATGGAACCAACATTCCAGTGAGTCAGGAGAAACCAGCTAGTCTTGAACGCCAGGAAGAAGACTAATGCAGGCTAACTGGTTGGAGAGGAAGTGGGGATCAACTTAGCTAGTCTGGCCAGGAAAGGGCCATCCGACAAGGTGACGCTTGAACTGACCCATGTGAAGTTAGGGAACAGGTCAGATCCCAGGAGCAAAGCGTTCCTGGTAGAGCAGCCAGTGCAAAGGCCCTGAGGTGGGCGGCCTTTTAGTGGGAGGGGTAACTCTGGAGAGGTGGTCAGAGAGGGCGTGGGAGAGGGGCAATTGTAAAGCCCAATGGCGTATGTTCAGTGTTTGATGGGAAGCTATTTGAGGGGTTCCCAAGAGGCAGGATTGCTCTGCATTACCTTTAAGAAAGACTGCTGCCTGCACTGTCCAGTGCCAGGGCAAACGGGGAGCCCAGTGAAGAGGCACCTGGTCACCCAGGAGTGAGAAGGTGGTTTGCACCAGGAGGTAATGGTGGTGCTGGGGAGAAGCCATGAGATGCTGGACACATTTCAAAAGTAGAGCTGACAGGGTGGACAGAGGGGCAGAATAAGAGAAGAAAGTCAAAGGTGACTCCACAATCATCTGTGAAAAGTTGCTTGTGGAAGTGGGTCCAGATCTGGAGTGTGCTCAGAGGCCTCCCATGCAGAAGGAGCTTAAAAGCAGCTCAAAAAAAGTGATTTTATAAGAAATAACACAATGTGACATATACAGACATATCTAAGGCAGAGTTATGGTCTCACTCCAGTCCTGAAAAATATGTCTGTAGTCCACCCCCTGCAGAGCGGGTGGTTTGTCCTAGCCAAAGCCAATGGGCTGGTGACCCGTGGCCCGGGGAGGCTGGCTGCTCATGCAGCCGCGTTGACATTGTTGAAGACGTGGTTTTTATGTGGCGCTTACTCCTCAATTACTATAATTCCAGTCTTACCTGCGTGTTTCCTGAGAAACAAATTAGAAGTCCTGCTCATGTCCTGGTGCAGTTGACATTGGTACAAGAATCACTGTGTTAAAGGTGGCCTGTTCTTGCAGCTAATGCAGTTGTCTAGTCTAACTAGAAAGTTGATAAAATGTATCGGTATGTTATCTATATATTGAATGGGTATATACATAATTTCATTTTTCTTTCAATGCCCTGAAAATGGTAAAGAATTTAGTCAAACTGAAATCCACATGACATTTGCAGGACTCCACCTGTACCCCAGAGCTTTGTAGGGAACCCACAAGGCCTGGGCCATGCGCTGAGGATTCCGTCCGTAATAGAGCTGCGGACACGGGTGCCACATCCACAGGACTCCAATGGAGTGCTTTGACTTTGACCAAGAAATCGTATTCTTGTTTTCTGCTTTGGCTAATTTTATCAGCCAGGAGCTTGTCTTCCTTTGCGTCAGAATGCCTGCCAGGCTGCCCAGGCGACTGCGGCCCCTGGGGAGTGAGCTTCCCAGCGGTGGGTGTCTGCTCTTTGGGGTGTGCTCTAAGTTCACGTGCTGGGTCTGCCACCAGCGAGTTCTGGCTCTTTGGGTCAGTGATTTGGCCTCTCCTGATGGTTTCTTTGTCATAAAGTGGAGATGCTAAGCCACCTGCCTGTTGAGTGGCTGTGAGGATTAAATGGGTGCGCACACAGAAAGCTCCCCGCCTGGAGTCAGTGCTCCGCCACGCTGGCTGTTATTTCGGTCTTTGCTTCGGCTACCATCTGTGTGGGAGGCAGTGTTCTTTCTAGAACCTTGTCTCCTTGTCACATGAGTATGTGCAGCGTGAGCTTCTTAATACTCTGTCAGCATTTGAGGTTGGAACATAAATGCGTGGCTGTACCCAGTGGAATCCAGCAGAGCGCGGACTGCGCACCATAGCAACTGTTGCTGTTTGTGTCCTGAGCAGCAGCTGCCCTGGACAGACATATTTTTTAATCCTGATCTCACGATAGCCTGGGGTATGGCCCTGCCTTAGAGACCAGATTGGTTGATGAGTCTGGCCCTTGAAGAGATTTCACGACCACATGTTAGGAAGATTCTATTCCATGTGAAACATGAGATGCTGAAGCTTTGCGTGTATGAGGAGGGAGGAGAGGCCCCACATCTGTCCATTCTGAAGTGCAGTGTGCCTGGAGTGGCCCCGCGAGAAGGCTCTTAACATGGGCAGGGAGAAGGCCTGCTTTCCAGTTTGAAACTCATTTTGCTGTTTATAGCATTCTGCAGTAGCTTGTGATTCCAGTGTGTCCACACACATGCACGTGTGTCCATGTGTACAAGCCTATTTAGTAACCCAGGTGTCAGTTACTATTAGCTGTGGGTGCCAGAAACAAGGCTTTTTCCAGCGAGTGCTTATTACCAGGTGCTTTTCTGAAATAGATAACTAGATCTTTAAAATCTTTGCTTCAAATAGTAGCTAGGTTTATTTAAAAAAATTTCTAATTTTTATTTCTAATGTGTTGAAACATGTCAGGATTTAGGAGGTACCTTGAAATGGTAGCGTTTCTGTTACTATTACTTATCAAGATTTAGCATTTCTAAGTTTCAGTTGCAGACTCTGCAGGATTTAGCCACATAATACTCACCCGGCCCCTCGAGGTCTCAGGCTCAGGTCTGAATCCTGGGCACACCCAGTGAAGGGTGTTGCTTCGACTCTCTTCACGTCTGTGTGTAGATGCCTGCTCAAAATATGGGTGCTTTTTGAATTGCCCTAGTAAGAGTCACTGGCTTGAATTGACTGATCTAGATGTTTTGAAGTCACAACATAGCATCTGAAGAACCTGTAACTGGATGATTTGTAAAATTAAAACCTTCTCATCTCCTAGGTATTATTAACCCAAAGAACCCAAAGGAAGCGCCAAAGTCCTTCAGCTTCGACTATTCCTACTGGTCTCACACCTCGGTGAGTGTGCCTGTGGGCCGTGTGAGTGTGCCCATGTGCCCCGTGAGTGTGCCCGTGTGCTGTGAGTGTGCCCACGTGCCATGAGTGTGCCCACGTGCACTGTGAGTGTGCCTGTGTGCTGTGTGAGCGTGCCCATGAGCCGTGTGAGCGTGTCCATGAGCTGTGTGGGAGCGGGAAGGAAAGGGAAGGGACATCACCACCTTCTGAGGATGTGAGGCAGAGAGCCCTTGGCACACCCTCGCTCAGAGCAGGATCCGACTCGGGGCGCCGTCCTTGTGCCGGGCAGTGTCTGTTCAGTCATGTCCCGTGTCTCCCGTGCTCTCCCGTGCTGGCGCGGAGAGGTTTTAAACTCCTGACAAAGCCCAGTTGCCAAGGGCAGGGCCCTGAAACAGGGGTGGGAAACGTTCGTCACTGAAAACTGTTTATTGAGAAATAGCCTTATTATCTGGAGCTAGTTAAGAGGAGTGTTTTTATATAGAGACTTGACCTTTGGTCTTTTAGTCTCATTTTCCACTAAAAATTTTTCCCTTGGGGCTCACTATGAACAAAAGGGTGAAACTTAAGGTTATGGAAAATGAAATGTAATCAGGCTAGAAAATTTCATGTAAGTATTTTTATCTCTGACCTTACTGAGTAATAGTGCCCGTGTGTACATGTGTGTTCTTAATGAGAAAAATAAATTGTGTGGAGAGACTTAAAAATTTTTGGCATATTTTAGGGGGCTTCTCACTCTAAAATCTTGTTTGTTATAGAGGTAATGAAACAGCATGGGAAGGAATGTGAGTCGAATGCCACTTGCTTATACTGTCCTTCTTCTGCAGCCTGAAGATCCCTGTTTTGCATCTCAAAACCGTGTGTACAATGACATCGGGAAGGAAATGCTCTTACACGCCTTCGAGGGGTACAATGTCTGCATCTTTGCCTATGGGCAGACTGGCGCTGGCAAGTCTTACACAATGATGGGTAAACAAGAAGAGAGCCAGGCTGGTATCATCCCACAGGTAAAAACAAAACGTCAAAACCTCAGTTCAAATTATTCTTTGTCTTCAGTTGCTTTCACAATTATCATATGTATGTTTATTCGGGGAGTCTCTTATGCAAGGCACAGAGAAAAATAACCTGCCCCACTTCTCTCAGAGGCGCTGAAAGTCCCCTGCAGAAGATAGGGGTGTGCTTGGCTGCTGTGAAGGCGGGAGCTTATCGTTGAATCAAGTCGTTTTAGCTCGTGAACAGTGTCACACGCTCCTTTTCAAAGTGCTGTTGTGAACAGATGCTGTCCTGATGCTGGGGACACCTATGAATGATGTGGGCCTGATTTTTCCCCCAGTTTCATATGTAGATCACCTCTGAAGAAAGTAACTGTTTTTCGCTTTTTATTGCCTCCCTTGGGGATACTATTAGCGTCGTTTAACACTATACTTTTAACTCAAGCACCCTGTGACTTCTCTCTTTTTGAGAGCACTTAGTCCTTTGAGCTTGTAGTGTTCCGGAGTGGCGAAGAGCTGCACATTTAAAAGGAACTTCCTTTGTCAATAACAGGAATGCTGTTGGCTTTTATTAGTGATATTTGGAGTTAGTTTTAAAGTATTGTTTTACTATAGGCGTCGGTGATGATCTGTTTTCTGAGAATAAAATACATAAGGGAGCATTAGCTACCTTTTCTAATGGATTATTGGGCTATAGCTTTGAATTCAGCAATGTAATTGAAATGCTTAATTATTAATAAAGATTGGGAAAGTTTCAGGAAAAAATTGAACATGCTAGACTTTTTTCCTGTAAAAATTGTATTTACTGTAAGATATATTTGGGAATTATCCTTCTTTGTATATAGTAGTAGCTCTCATACTAATTGGAGAAACAGTTGCATCAAGCACAGTTCTAAGGGCTTTATAAATACTGGCTCTTCTAATCCTCATATGAGCCTAAGAAGTAGATGCTGTGGTTACCCCCATTTTACAGATGAGGAAATGGAGCCACAGAGGTCGTGTCACTCCCCAAGTGAGTGGCAGAGCCAGGATTCAGACTCAGGCGAGGCAGGCTGGGGTCTGTGCTTTCGCTCCTCTGGGGCACGTCTTTGGCAGGAAGCGTCAGCAAGTGAGACTGAGCAGTCCCGCCTGGTTCATCCCATCCCGCCATATTGAGTCTCCCTCCTGTGCCTTTGATTGTTTTCTTACTAGAATTCTTATAGGATTACAATGTGTGGTTTTTTCCCCTTGGTAAAATTTTGGAATATTTTAAGACAAAAACTTAGATTTTTAAAAAATGATTACTTACAAACTGTCATTTACAATATACAATATATTTTAAATTCTGTTTAGTTTTCAAGGGAATCACAACCATATACTCCATTTTCCAATGGTATATTGATTGCCTTAATGCTAAAGTATAGCAAGAGAAAATTCAGTAGATGTTCATTGTTCTTATTAAAATGTTGCATTTAAAATAAGTTCAAGGCATAGGAAGAGTGAAATTTTATAGTTTTCCTGATCAAGAAAAATTTATGTTTCCATTAGAAATAGCACTCTGTGCTGGAGGGGCATCTTGTTAAAGGGGCAAATTTTACGGACTCAAAATTAGTCATGAAAATGCATTCATTTACCCCCTGCAAATGCAGTGATTCTCTTTATAGATAAGTAATTATAAATTCATGACACCTATAGTAACTGATAACATAGAGTAACAGAATTTATAATAAGTAATATATATGCAAACCATAGTCTCTTAGTAGTTTTACTGCCATGATAACAGCCGGGACACCACGTCATGGGTTGCTGGCAGGAAGAGTTGAGTTCGCATCAGCTACATGTGCTGGGGCTATGAGCCCGTAAAACAAGCTTCCTCCTCCTCTTCCCCTAAATGCAACTTTTTTTCCAAGGTGACATTGTTGAGATGTTAATTGTTGAGGGAGAAAGATTAGATGAGAAGATGAATTAAAAACTGCTTTTATTCATTAACCTTTGGTGCTGATGCTGTTGATATTTTAAGAAAGAGAAAGGGGTCTTGTAACTTAGTGCTTCTCTGACTCACGCTCCCCATGCCTCTCTCATTCTGCTTCTCTAGTTATGTGAAGAACTGTTTGAGAAAATCAATGACAACTGTAATGAAGAAATGTCGTACTCTGTGGAGGTGAGTGCCCTCGGGCCAGCCAGAGCCTGCGTCCTGCCCAGACATCGCATGACACAGGCCCTGTCGTCGTACCAGTTTTGTGCTTTTAGGCTGCTTCTGAGTTTGAGTCTTAATGAATGAATGAGGTTGCAGTTAGTCCTTGTTCTTGTCTTTGACTTTATTTTCAAATAATATATTTAAATTAGTATATTTAAATTGCCAAATAGCCTTTTAGAAATAAAAGCTCACCAGTTTTCAATCCCATTAGGCACCCATTGTTCCCTTGCCAACATTTATTATCTTCAATTTTTAATCTTTGCCACTTGATAAGGGAAAGTGTCTCACTTTTGCTTAAATTAGAAATTTGATGGTTATTGTGGTTGAGCCTGTTGTAAATTATATTATATGCCTGTTTTCATTTGGGGATTGTGAAGAAGAGTCACTGTGCGACTCTTCTTTAATATTACAAATGATGATTTTGACAGGCATAGGATTTACTATATATGTACATATGTATATACACACACATATAAAATTAAATAAAATTAAAATTAAATCTTTCTTGAATCATGTGACAAAATTTTTTTAGTCCATTCAAAGTCACCCCTCTATACGAGGGCTCCGTCAAAATACTGCAGCAAGCCTGTCGGTGACTTTTGGGGCAGCGTGCTCTTACTCTGTACCCCACAAAGGCTCAGGGACCAGGTTCAAAAGTGATGGTACTTTCAGCAGTTAACGTGGATGGCCAGCATGGTGGAGAAAGCCAGGGAGATTCATGTGTTCTGACACAGGCAAGGGAAATCCACCCTGAATTCAAAGATTAAGACATGGAATGTGGCAGTAAAGTCAGTCTGGAGGGAGAGATGGTGAGCCCATCAATTTTGAACAACTTTTTTAGAATACAGTGTAAAAATACAGTTTAAGGCCAAGCGTAAGACAATAAATATGGAGATAAGGGCCCATTTGGATACTCTGAAGATGTGTCTATAGAAATTTGAGGTTGGACAGGCACAGGCTGTATGGCATGTTTCAGGGCTCAGTGACCTGGGGGTGTCCGGTTCCTGGGGCAGCAGCATGACGAGGCTCACTGCTTTGAGCTTACCCAGTTCAGAACCTCTTTTGCTTAGAAGTCTGATCCTGTGGCTACATCAGGAACACAGAACCATCTTTCAAAATCAGTCTCTAGAATGATACTCGTTCAGCTCGTACAGCCTGTGCCTGTCCAACCTCAAATTTCTATAGACACATTTTCAGATTATCCGAAATGGACCCTTATCTCCATTTCTATTGTCTGGTGTTTCAGCATGTGGCCTCGTGGCCTTCAGGAAGCACCCTGCCAGCACCGTCACTCAGCCCCCTGGTCTGTTACCGTCCTGTGGGCAGTCTTCTGTAGGAATGCTGTTTGTTTTTGGTGAGGGAACTATAGGGACAGGGGTTATTTAGACAAATTAAGATTAGGAAAAGACGGCTTGTTCACCCCCAGGAGAGGATGGTCCCTGCTGATGGGGCAGGAACACGCGTGAGGTGTCGCTGAGGCTCACTCCTCCCACAAGATGTGGCAGGTCCACCGCGTGCTCAGGTTGCCTCGGCCAGTCCTGCCCCTCTGGTCGAGATAACTAGTCACAGTGTGAGCAGTCTCAAATCCCTGTCTTGGCCCCTCTCGTTTACCTGCTCTGGAATACTGGCAGTGTTCCCTGCTTTTAGCACTGAGCTTAAGCCACGCTTTTGGGTGACCCCACTGTAGTTCCCGGTTATTGACGGAGTGTACATCGTTGAGGGAAAAAAGCCACTGCTAAGTTTCTACTAAAAATATTTTGGGCCTCCCCGGTGGCGCAGCGGTTGAGTGCTGGGTTGCGAAGCTGCCCGCGGCCTCTGCGGCGCCGGTTCAATCCCCGGCTGCTCCCCGGCCACCGGAGGAGGGTCCAGCATGGCGCGCAGACCTCTCCTGCCGCCCGCTGCTCCCCTCAGCAGTGTGCTTCGGTCCTGCTGCCTGCTCTGCTCCCCACTCTGGCTCTGGTGAATTCTCTCACCCTCCCGCGCTTCTGACTGTACCCAGTGCTTGTATAAATAAATAAAAAATAAATAAATCTTTAAAAAAAAAAAAAAAAATAAGAACTTTAAAAAAAAAAATATATTTTTTTGCCTAAGACAAGTAGTAGTCATGTGGTGTTCAGAGCCTGCCGGGTCGCGCTTCTCTTGCTGCAAAGGACAGAGGCTGTTTCCGTGAGGCTGTTCGTGGGCGGGCGGCCATCGTGGCGTCACGCTCTGTCACGGCCCATGACCTCGAACTGTAGCGTTTCTAATAAAAGTTTTTAGAAGTAATTTAATGTATATGGATTTTTTTCCTGAACTGTAATATTTTGTTCTCAGGTGAGCTACATGGAAATTTACTGTGAAAGAGTTCGAGATTTGCTGAATCCAAAAAACAAGGGTAATTTGCGTGTGCGGGAGCACCCTCTTCTTGGCCCGTACGTGGAGGACCTCTCGAAGTTGGCGGTCACTTCCTACACGGACATCGCCGACCTCATGGATGCTGGCAACAAGGCCAGGTAGGGCAGGAAGAGGCGCATCAGCAAGGTCTCTGGCACGTCTCGAGGCCAGTTGTTCCTGGCTAAGGATTTGAGACGCCGTCTGCAGCTACTCAGGCTGCATGCTGGAGCAGGAGGGGCTTCAGCACATTAAGCATCTTTCTTTTTATCAAAACAACACACTGCTGGGCCTCCCCAGTGGCGCAGCGGTTGAGCACTGGGTTGCGAAGCTGCCCGCAGCCTCTGCAGTGCTGGTTCGATTCCCGGCTGCTCCTCAGCCACTGGAGGAGGGTCCCACATGGCGCGCAGACCTCTCCTGCCGCCCGCTGCTCCCCGCTGCAGTGTACTTCAGTCTGCCTGCTCTGCTCCCCGCTCTGGCTCTGGTGAATTCTCTCACCCTCCCGTGCTTCTGACTGTACCCAGTGCTTGTATAAATAAATAAATAAATCTTAAAAAAAAAAACACACTGCTGAGACACCTAGAACTTTCATTAAGTTTTATCGTGAGGATTTGATCAAGTCTTGGCTAAATGGTCATCATCGTGTGCTTTTGGTTCTAATTGATTCAGCAATAAATGAGCATCCAATAAAGAATAAAAAGTAAATGCCTCACTGATTCCTAAAGGGACAACTGAAGTATGAAGCATGATTCTGATGGGGCGCCTTTGGGGTCGGAGGATAACTTGATGGTCCCCAGATAAGGTGTATTGAGTGCGATTGTGTAAGTGACAGCCTTGCGGCCTGTGAAAGCGGTTAAAGCTCTCGCTTGTGATTGTTAGGTCTATAATGTGGAAACTGCTGTCATTTTCATTTCCTTCTTAAGAATACCATTGTCATGTGATCGCCGTCTTTCTGTAGGACGGTGGCAGCTACCAACATGAACGAGACCAGCAGCCGTTCCCATGCTGTGTTCACCATTGTTTTCACCCAGAAGAAGCAGGATACAGAGACCAACCTTTCCACCGAGAAGGTAGGAGAACTGCAGTCTCTGGGCCTGAGTTGTGAAGGATGGGAATTTTCAGAAAATCCCTCTTGCTCTCTATGTTGTGTGGAAGGGAGGAAAGTGGCCCTTTCCTTCATAGGCTGTGTTTTATGTCTTCTGCTGATCATTTTTATTCCCCTCTAAACCACTTCTGAGCATGGGTTCTTAAGTAAAACTGCAGAACAAAAAATGAGGTTAATGGGCCTCTCTGGTGGTGCAGCTGGTTGAGCACAGCGCTGTGAAGCTGTCTGCAGCCTCTGCAGCATGTGTTCGATTCCCAACTGGCCAGGGAGCTACCCACATGGCACGGCAGACCTCTCCTGTCTCGCCCACTGCTCCCCTCAGCAGTGCTTTCAGTCCGCCTGCCTGTTCTGCTCCCTGCTCTGTCTCTGGTGAGTCTTCTCACCCTCCCATGCCTCTGGTCTGTATCCCCAGCTCGTGTATAAATAAAAAAAAATAAATCTTTAAAAAAAAAAAAAAAAAAAGAAAGAAAATGAGGTTAAGATGTGGCACAAGGGACTGAGACACAACCTATGAAGCTGTCTGCAGCCACTGAAGCACGAGTTCAATCCCCGGCCAGGGAGCTGACCCACATGGCACAGCAGACCTCTCCTGTCTCACCTGCTGCTCCCCTCAGCAGTGGACTTCAGTCAGTCTGCCTGTTCTGTTCCCCACTCTGTCTCCGGTAAATCCTCTTACCCCCCCACACCTCTGGCCTGACAACTGTATGCATAAATAAGTAAATCTTTAAAAAAAAAGAAAAAATAACTCAAAACTTTGCAGTGTATGGAAGAGCACTTATTTATTCTAAAATTGCTTCCTTTGAACCATACTAGTTGCCATGAACTTTTGTGCTGTTCTTTAAATTGACTGTAGTATGTTGTCTTCTTATACCACCTAGGAGTCCTAGGTAACCATTTTAGTCTTCTCCATGCCTTCATCTTTTAATTTCCTCCCTTTACATGTTTTTTGTTTTTCCCCCTATTTCTGCCTTGCTTATTTTCGAATTGTGCCAGTGTTGTTTCCTTTATCAGGTCAGTAAAATCAGCTTGGTGGATCTAGCAGGAAGCGAACGAGCTGACTCAACTGGTGCCAAAGGGACTCGATTAAAGGTATTTATCCTACCAAATCGATGAGAGTCCCATAGCACAGGTCAGCAAACCATAGCCAGTAGGCAAATCTGGCTGCCTGCCTGTTTCTGTAAATGTAATCTGGACACAGCTCATCTGTGGCTGCCCTCCTATCCAGTGGTGCAGGGCTGGGCAATTGTGACAGAGACCAGGTAGCCCACAAAGCTTTTACAGAAAAACTTTGCTGACTCTGATCTGTGACTTCAGTAAAAGGACATGTTATGTAACATGGTAGTTCAGGAGGACCTCATGGTCAAGGTGAGGATTGAGTTGTATTTTGAAGAACAGGCAGGACTTGGCTAGGTGGAATTAAGAGACAGTGGTGGGGAAGGAAGTGTGGCTCCAGGTGTGAGGGCGCGCATGCCCTTGTCCAGAGATGGCACTTAACAGGGCCAGAAGTGCCTTGCTGGTAAGTTGTGTGAAGAAGGCTCCAGTTGTAGGTTTTTTCAGCACAAGTTTCTTGAAGGTACTTCAAGACTCCCCTGACGACATGCTTGGAAAGGAGGAGGAAAGATTGAGGATTAAAGACGCTTTTAGGACTTGTGGTCACCAATGCCAAATAAAATTCGCCTGTGGCTGATTGGATCTTATGTCTTAATGTATGATGCGTCAACAGTAGAAAATCTTCCTCCTAATTCTTTCATGTTTGGTATTGATTTCAGGAAGGAGCGAACATTAATAAGTCTCTCACAACTTTGGGCAAAGTCATTTCCGCCTTGGCAGAGGTGGTAAGTGCCATGCACCCATCGTGGGTGGGTGGAGGGGTGGGTCCAGCAGGCTGCCTGGCAGGATTTTATGTTCCTGTAGGAATACTGGCCTTTCTCCTTTTGGAACTTTTCAGATAAGATACTCGCTTTGACTTTGTACTGAAAGGAAAAGAGATTAAGGAGAAGGGAAGTAAACATAGACCGATGAAGGTTAGAGCAAAGCCTAAGGTGTGACTGAGGTTTGAATACTTTATTCTGATGTTCTCAGGATAAAATTTTATTTTATTGTTTTTAATCAAATTTTTTTGTTTTACATTCATTTTCATAACTGGATTTTGGGGAGGCCCAGGTCACACCTCAGCGTGTGCACAGGCCTCCCTTGCCACCACCAGCGCTCCAGTGCCCTCCTGTGTGACCCCACCAAACTAAGTTATTTTTGTTGTGTTTTGCCAGTTTATATTCTTTCTTTATATTCTACCAGTGAGTGAAAGCATCTGGTAATTGTCTTTCACTTTATGACTGACTTCACTTCACGAGTCCCCTCTTGAGATCCCTCCATTTTGTCCCAACAGTCACTATTTAGAAGCCAAGTCTGCTCCACTGAGTGTGTAGTATAATTTCTTCATCCAGCCATCTGTCTGTCTGTCGCTGATTTGGGGGATGGGGCAGTATTACAGTCTTTGGAGAGTTTTATTCTTTCCTATTCCTTAACAGTGGAACCCTAAGATGGAAATAATTTTTACAGAAGAGACTGCATTATTTAGCCTAGAAGTTAAGGAAGTATTAATCATTCTGTGCACTAAATTATTTCAGAACTTCAGTTTTCCCTAAAAGAATTAAATGCTTTCTTGTTTGTCTCTGAGAAGTCATTTTCAATTTATGACATAAAATTTAAACCAGTTATTTCCTATGCTTATGTTGTGTTCTCATTCTCTCTTTTAAATGCTTTCATCTGTAGGATAACTGCACCAGCAAGGTACGGTGGGATTTGGTAGAAATGAACTAGCTGCAGAAACTTTTCGATGATTTTTAAATCCTCAGAGGATGTGTGGAAGCATCATAGTAGTAATAAAACCTCCAGAAAGCTTTTTGCCATTTGTTTTGTGGCTCTGAAATTTAGACTTGCTGTTTAGAGTGACCATGAATCATGAGGTTTCACACCAACATTAATTTTCAGGAACACGATGTGATTTGGGGAAGGAATTCAGAATAAAGGAATGTAAGGGGCAGGACAGGGCACAAGGCAGGTTTTCTGATCCCATGCAGATCGGGTAAAGGAGGAGTCAGAGTCCTCAGTAGTTTTGCAGGTTTTTTATTTGGGGTTCACCAGGCATATGGCAGGCAGGGGTGCTGGCTGGGGGGCTGGGAGGCTGGCAGGCCTCCCAGCCCCCAGCAAGTCCTCACTCTATCTGGGCTCTCTAGCGTTCGTTCTGCTGCTTCTCGGCTTCGGCTGCGGCTGCTGCTGGTGCTGGTGCTGCTGGCGTGCCCCCGTGACGCCGCCCTTAAAAGCACAGTCTTAGCTCAGCTGAATCCCATCTACCTATGCCCACACCCTATTCCAGGTGCCCGCCATCAGGCATGCATTCAGGACAAGGATCCATCATCTATCCTGATGGCGGGAGGGCAGAAAAGCCTGATATTTTCTTTACCCTACAGTCCACCCCCTCAGGGTTTTCTGCCATACAGTCTATACATATATACACAATTTTCTAAGCAAACAAACAATGCAGCCATGGCCCACAAAAGCAAATACATCAAATAACAAAATACAACATAACAAAATACAACAGAACACAAATAAGTCCAGGCAGGGCACCAACCAAGTGCAAAAGACAATTATTGGTACCAGCAGATGAGCCACCAAATCTGCTGCCGAAGGCACTGCTCATACGAGGGAGGGGAAATCACACACGGCATCTGCTATAACACACCAGGAGCCGTCAGGCTTCCTGGCCTTCTCTGGCTGTAGTCTCGGCTACAAGGCACACACAGCATCCACCCCCAGGATGCACTAGCTCTGGGATTGGCAATTTTATTCTGTTGGGGGTAATCGCCAACCCTCAGGGTTTCTGTCTGCAGTCGCTCCAACACTCGGCCTTCACAGCCACCCATGCGACTCACAGACCCCTGCTCTCAAGCCAACCCACTGCACAAGCACATGGGTTGGGGATCCAAACTTTGCATTTGGCTTGGGCTCCACCCCAAGCCACATTCCCCACCCGTCCCCCAAGGACGGGCTCCTCAGCTCCTCACCCTCACTCAAGAATGAGCAGGGCATCACCCACAGGTGATTTTACGAGACTCACAGGGCTTCAGCATACCCAGGCTGCTTAACAGCCGCTTTAGGGCTTCTCAACTTAGCATCAGTACCAGCTTTTGCCACCTTAGTTGGCTTTTCTCCTCCACCTGGCCACTGGGCATACACAGGCTGCTTTTGGCCATCTAGGCCCACTGGCCACCCCCAGATTCTCAAAAAATAAACATAACCTGCTAAGGTCCTCCGCCTTCTGGCGGGATTGTCAGTCCAAAATCATCAGTTCATCAGTCTATCAGTCCATTGGCCTCTCCCTGCTTCAGCAATGGCCTGCTGCCTCAGGGGTCATTGGCTGGTCCTTTCCGGTGTCGTTGGCTGGTCCTTTCCGGTGTCGTTGGCTGGTCCTTTCGGGCGTCTCCTTCACGCCAGGTCTCATCCTGTAGCTCGTGGACGTATCCATCTTCTATACCGCCATGGTGCCTCCAGCGTCGTCACAGGCAAAGTCTGTTCTCCTTAGTCCCTCCAGGTCTTCGGAGGGCTCCAATACCCGTCTGCATGGATCCTGCCGACTACGCCAATTGTAAGGGGCAGGACAGGGCACAAGGCAGGTTTTCTGATCCCATGCAGATCGGGTAAAGGAGGAGTCAGAGTCCTCAGTAGTTTTGCAGGTTTTTTATTTGGGGTTCACCAGGCATATGGCAGGCAGGGGTGCTGGCTGGGGGCTGGGAGGCTGGCAGGCCTCCCAGCCCCCAGCAAGTCCTCACTCTATCTGGGCTCTCTAGCGTTTGTTCTGCTGCTTCTCGGCTTCGGCTGCGGCTGCTGCTGGTGCTGGTGCTGCTGGCGTGCCCCCGTGACGCCGCCCTTAAAAGCACAGTCTTAGCTCAGCTGAATCCCATCTACCTATGCCCACACCCTATTCCAGGTGCCCGCCATCAGGCATGCATTCAGGACAAGGATCCCATCTATCCTGATGGCGGGAGGGCAGAAAAGCCTGATATTTTCTTTACCCTACAAGGAACAAGAGTGAAATTTGAGGAAGTGTTTGTACCGTATGATCTTGCATGTCTCTCCTAGTGATCCGCAGGACTGGCACTTCCAGTGTCCTGGATACCTGGAAGTGTGATGGAGATATGTCTTAGGGCACCATTCTAAACAGACCTGGCTTCTTGACATCATTAGTATGTTTTTCTTAAGCCTCTTTGTATTATCTGTCCTTATTTCTTACCATGAAAAGTCATAGATTATTTAAATTGTTTAAAAACAGTTTTTTCTACTCTTTGGTTATACCTAAAACATATTATTTGCTCCCTTTTTTAAATCTAAATACCATAGATTTTTCTGTTTCTTATATTTCAATATAGACACCAAACTGTAGAGGTGGCTTCTACGTGACTGATGGAGCCCCCGGCAGTCTGTTCTGAGTCACATGAGTAGAACTGGGACTGTGGCAGCCTCTGCACTGAGATGCTTTAGGCTGATATTTTCAAATATGTGGATTTATTGATTTTCTGCTTCCACACACACACACACACACACACACACAAATGCCCTTTTTCTGTTTTTCTCTGTTAATTAGAAAAATCTGCCTTTGATTTAAAATATCCCACCTGCTCTTTGCTATTATATACGTGTGACTCTCCCTCGCATAGCTAATCTGGGTCCCAGAACCAGGAAGACTCAAAACTTGGTGATCCTCCAGCGTGTCCATCTGCCCGCCTGATAGCGCCCGTGTCAAACAGGGAGAGTCTCATGTGTTCATCCGTGTATCTCCCACATGACTGTGCCACAATCATGGTTCACACATGGTTTTTATAATCATTTTTATTAACTACTGTTTAGTACTTTGCATTGATTTCATAACTATAACATCAAAATAAATTTTTATTTTTTATAAAACAACATTTTTGGCGAATTAAGATATATTATTTCCAGTGGGGATCGATAAGAATCAGGATTTTACCTTTCACACTTAATAGTGTTTCTTTTTAGAGAGGTCAATGATCTAAGTAAAGCTTTTCTGTAACTACGGAAAAGCTTTTCTGTAACTAAAAAAAACTATGAATGTGAGAACAGATCAGTTTGTATAAGAGAACAAATAGAAAAGAAATGGCTAAAACTCTGGGGTATTTTCCAATGGAAAGATTGAAGTTCTACTTCTGCTTCTTCACTTAGCTAGCCCTTCTTAATTTAGTCTAATTGACAAATATGAAAATAAAACATCTTTGGCAAGCCGACACACTTATTTTCGCAGTGCCGTGTGCAGTTACTGCACTGGTGTCCTCCGAATCTTGCAGTATCTCAGCACTAGCCATGGGCAGAGCGGAGCGTGTAGGTGTGTTGGGAGCTAGCAAGGAATAAATGCAGGCCTCGAGGATTTTGTAGCTGGGTAGCTGGGCCCTACCAAGCCATGAATGAGTGAGAGGGTTAAACTCTCTGTAGAGGTCTGTATAATTTAGAAATAGAAACTGCTATTGGAAGTGACTTTCTGATTGGTAGAATGAGTGTTTGTGGGGAGAGTAGGAGGAGATGGAATTTGCCTACTTCTTTTCTCACCAAATCAGAGGTCGGTGGCCTAGTGCTCCTTTTCTAAATACTCTGCTTTTGCAAGAAGATTGTCCCTAATTTAGCGTCAGATTATACCAGGAGTAGATTATAAAACAGCCAATTGCTGGGGAGATGTTTATCAGTGAACCCTGGCTTTCCTCCTAGTAAGCCTCTTTAATTACAGGATGGTAGTCAGCCAGCAGATACTAGGCGTTATCTGCAGAGCATTTACATTGATTTCACTTTTAAAAGATATAATTTCCTCCACTTCAGCTCTGGCTTTGCTTTGGTGCCTTTTGCTTTATGAGAAGAGTCACAGGAAGAGCAGTTTGAGAGTTTGAGTAGACTCGTGACGTGTCGAAAATTCATTTTGCAGTCTTTAGTCTCCATTAGCAAATCACATCTCTTTCTTAGAGCTTTTCACGTTGAATACTAACACCAGTGGTTGAATTTATCTGAGAAAGAACCAAATGTGTAGTATTTTACAAGAGTTACTTAGGTAGGTGTCAACCCACTCATCTGATAACGTAGTGGTTCCTATGTCAGTCCATTAACTGAATGACTCGCTTCTTCACCTTGGAGAGGATTCATGTTTGCCTTCTGCAAAAATGAGAATTACTGTCGGAGATTGCATTTTGGCTAATATTAAGGAATGATTGTTAATTTTGTTAAGTGTGATAATCATCTTGTAGTTACTTTTTTTGAAAGTCCCACTCTGTTAGATGTGTACCTGGAGTATTAATAGGGGAAGTGTTGGCTTTGCTCTAAAACATTATCAGCTGTAAAAGACCTGACATGGACATGTTATTAGGCAATGGTACTTATCGATGCTAAATTTCTTGAATTTAGTAATTGAACTGTGACTGCGTAAGGGAGTGGCTGTATTTCCTGAAGCGTTTAGGGGTAAAAGAGCATGATATCTGCAGTTTACTCCAAAATGGTTCAGGAAGACAAAATGTGAAGTCTTTGAGGGATAATTGAAAGGTGATTGACAAGATATTGCAAATGGTTGAAACTACACAATGGATGTATCGTTTACTCTCCACTGTGGTGTGTCATTCATTCATTTTTCAAAAATGAAATATAAAAGGAAAAAATTATTACATGAGCTTTGGATATTGTGAAGCATTTACACTGTGGGTGTGGGATTTCATCAGTGGTGGGGTTTTATGTACTTGGGAATTTTCAGATTGGCTTGCCTTTCATGGGAATATTTTTCCTCCCTAAGAACGCTACAAGACATTTCTTTCTCTTTGATAGAGTAAGAAGAAGAAGAAGACGGATTTTATTCCCTACAGGGATTCTGTACTTACTTGGCTCCTTCGAGAAAATCTAGGTAGGCTGACCATGGGTGTGTAATTAGCGTTTAAAGCTGTTACCAGCTATCTTTTGTTGTTAACCATCCTGTGTCTGTTTTGGAGAAGAATCATCTCGCCTGTCCATGTTACTGGCTTGAGCGCTCCTTTCCTTTTTCATTTTTACTCTTGACTTAATCTGGTTGAATTCACTCTCACAGTCATATTTTTCGCCCATATTCTGTTGTCTTCAGAACATGAGCTTCGGGCATAATGGGCTTCCTGCCCACACCCCTGCTCCAAACAATTGGTCCTTCTTCCGTTGTGAAAATCCCACGCTCCTGTAGGGGCATAGCATCCAGCATCATCTGCCCCTTACTCCTTTTTAGCTGATGCTGTTGCACCTCCCTGTCACTGCCCTTCCTTCAGTCACTGCCCTTTAGCCCCTTTCTCTCCCCCTTGCTGGGAAGAAGGGAGTCATCTGGTGTCAAGTGCTGCTGCCTGAAGGAGCACCCACTAGGAGCCATGTGGGTGGGATGGCTGGGGTCCTGCCAGGAGGGGGTTCAGGAAAGCGGGAAGAGGGAAACTGAACACAGTAGACTGGACGCTGACAGTGAGTATGCCAGAGCCTGGCACGGTGATGGTCAAGGATTTTGACTAAATTCTGGGATCCAGGGTTGTGCTGTTTGATTTGACATAGCCAGTGAAATTCTTTTTTGAGATGGTCGTGCTCATCCTTATAGGAGGCAATTCTCGGACTGCGATGGTGGCGGCACTGAGCCCCGCAGACATCAACTACGACGAGACCCTGAGCACTCTGAGGTACTGAGCAGGGTCTGCATGGATTTGCTGGTGCCGTGGGGGCGCTTCACATGGGGAGCAAGCTGTCCCTCCCATAGCGGGGGAGGCCTGGGAGAAAGGATTTTTATTATAACAAAATTTGCCTGTTTATGGTCGTCAGTTTCATTGAGCAAGGCGGGAACCTTTTCATAGGAAAGTCTTTAAAATGGAGATTTTGGATAACTTTTAGATAATAATAAATGTTTCTTATAACATTCATTTTTATAAAAGGAAGTGTCCTTTTTGTGCTGTTTGTCACAGAAATATTTGGGGCATTAAAAAGTAAT